TCCAACAGCTCCATGTCCTTCTTATGTTGGGGGCTTCAGACCTGAAAACAGTACTCCAGGTGGGGTCTCATGAGAGCGGAGTAGAGGGGGAGAATCCCCTCCCTTGACCTGCTGGTCACACTGCTTTTGATGCAGCCCAGGACACGGTTGGCTTTCTGGGCTGTTGGCACACATTGCCAGGCTCATGTTGAGCTTCTTGTCCACCAACACCCCCAAGTCCTTCTCCTCAGGGCTGTTCTCAATCCATTCCCCACCCCGCCTGTTTGAGACCATCTAAGGAACCTGAAGATGCACAAGTCCGTGGGACCTGATGAGATGCATCTACAGGTCCTGAGGGAAGCGGTGGATGAATTTGCTCAGCCACTCTCCCTATTTGAGAGGTCATGGCAGTCCAGTGAAGTTCATGCTGACTGGAAGAGGGGAAACATAACCCCCATTTTTAAAAAGGGAAAAAAGGAAGACCTGGGCAACTATAGATCAGCCAGCCTCACCTCTGTGCCCGACAAAATCATGGAGCAGATCCTCCTGGAAACTACACTAAGGTACATGGAAGATAAGGAGGTGATTGGTGACAGCCAACATGACTTCACTAAGAGCGAGTCATGCCTGACAAATGTGGTGGCTTTCTAGGACAAGGTTACAGCGTTGGTAGATAAGGAAAGAGCAACTGATGTCATTTACCTGGACTTGTATAAAGCATTTGACACTGTCCCACATGACATCCTTGACTCTAAATTTGAGAGACATGGATTTGACATATGGACCACTCAGTGGTTGAGGAATTGGCTGGATGGTTTCCAGTGTCAAAGCGGAGATCATGTTGCAGCTGTGCATGCATCTGGCCATGGGTCCTGGTGGCCTGGATCACAACTTGCCTTCCCAGCTGGACCTCAGTGAGCCTTGTCACTGTGGACCTGCCCATCAGCAGGGCCTCCCGGCTGTCCCAGATTAGCATCCCGTGCCAGTCCTGCTCACCTCACCCGGGCACTGTGGGGGAGGCCCCTGCCCTGTCAGCCTTCCTAACGCAGGGGTCCCAGTTCTCCACTCCCTAGGGGAGCCCACGCTGCACCCTGACATGCACCAACAGAGACGGCAGATATCAGCACCACCACTGAGCCTTTCTGATGATGTAGGTTGTTATAACCATCGTACTGGTGTACAGACCTCCCTGTAAGTGTATAAATTCTGCAAAATGCACAGTGGAAAATAGTTTAACAGATGGGATTGAGAGACCTTTTCCTTTACCTCACAAATCATAATTTGGGAGAATAGTACTAACAGTGCATGTGTGTTAAGAAATCCAGATTTTGCTCGTTCCAAGGGGGACTCTTAAAAGAGCATTACATTGCATTTTTCACCCCAAGTTGAGAAGTGTGGTAGCTACCCAACAGAACAAAACAGCTGAGAAGATACTGATGGCAAAATTAACCAATATCTTACTAATTTTTGTTACACATACCAGATTGCAGAGCGATACAGTTATCACAAAATTCTAGGCATGCAAAATAATCAGAAAGGTCAAACGGAGACTGTTCCACAGGCTGCCATGCAGCACAATGAGCATCAAGCAATTCCCATCACAGACTTGAGAACCAGCAGTAAGAGGCTATCATCCCTCTCAAACCCTACTGGGAGGTTAAGGGTAGCACCAATATTTGCATGCTTGCAAAAGCAGGAAAATTATTAAGTAAAATTGAGCCTTAGCAATGGTACTCACTTTATACTCCAAAGGCAAAAAAACTTCTGAACTCTCTCCAATTTGTCCTGCAGGGAAATTCCTTTCTGCTGCCAAATCTGATGATCAGTTTAACTCTGAGCATTTGATCAGTTTCCCTTTATTTGACCTAGTCTATTAGTAAGAGTCTGTTAGAGTTTTCTCACTGATTATTTATTATAGATGTTATTTAGGTCATCTTCTAACAGTGATTCTGTCAATACACTTTACACTTCCAATCAACTAATGCATTAAGCTGCCTACACAGAATGTATGACTAATTTTAGGTTAGCCTGTTTCTTCAAGGTTTTTTTGGTGTAACATTACTATGGTCTGGACCCTGCCATTTTTAATTCAAGGGGAACTAATAATTTCAAAGAATAAGAATCTGGCCCTGTATATTCACAACAGTATACAGCTTTTTTGGTTTTGAAAGGGTCCACTTATTTCAAACTGTAGATCTTACAATATCTCAACTGAAGAAAGTTACATAATAGCAAAGGGCATACAAGTTTTGGGCACACATAACAAAAGTAAAGAAATGCTTCAATTTATTAAGGAAACACAGATGGGAGAAAATGGCAGCACTCCTGGTCTGAAAACATTTCAACTACTCTTGGAATTAAAAATGTTTCTTTTCTGACAAAATACTAATTTTCTAAACAAGCAAATAAATTACTAACCTAAAGTCTCATCACTGAGGCATACGCATTAGTAGATGTCATCAAATACAGAAATCATGTTGATGAATATATGCATAAGTCCTGAGTAGTTGCTTATTTCCTTCTTCCCTTATTTGCTCTCAACAGACAGGATGCTTTCCATATGACTGCGTGTGCTTCGTACAATACCTGTACTCATTTGTGTGAATAATACAATGCTCAGGCAAACAAATAGTTACATAGATATTTAATCTTTACTATTAGCTATTTTTGATAATTAGAAGGTAAGGCTTTAAGTAATGCAAGAGAGGCCACACTGGGCAGCACCTGAGCATGTAGTTCAGCACACGCAGCCTTCAACCACCTCGTCAGCATCCTTCAAACGTACTGTTGCACGGTCCTCTGCTCACTGCTGCAGTAACAGAAAACTTCCAGTATTCAGCAGCCTCAGAAGTAACGTGCTTACCAGCTCTCTGCCAGCAGCAAGGCTGATAGGAGCTGGGAGGTCTCCCAGGACGGGTGTCATGTAATCAGAGGTGGATAAAGAGCCCAGCGCATGCCTTCCTCTGACCCACGGTAGCAGATGTGCACAGGAGTCCTGCTGGAAGAAATCAGGGGTTTTCCCTCCCTACTCACAAACATCACAGTATTTCCAAAGAAGGAAAGTTTATGATGCTCCTCCACACTCCCCTGCTGGTTTATACTGCTAGCAAAATAGTTTAGCATAAACATCTGCAGATTATCTGTAATCACAGATTATTTATAATACATGAATATATTCATAGTTGTTTTTTCATAATTTATAACCCAAAATGTATACAAACCTTAAGTACTTCTTAAAAGACCTCCAGGTTGTATCAAGCTTACAAGTTGTAACTGAACAGCACAGAGACTTTGGCTGAAGTAATCTGAGGTCATAGGTCAAATGGACATCCCAAACTGTTGGTTGTTTTTCACAGGTCACTGCTCAAAACAAAATCATATTCCTCACATGCGGGTGAAGCCCAAACATAACACTGTCTTTGTCTGAAGGGCACTAAGTGTCAACAAGCAAAACGATTCGAGTCAAAGTCACCAATGTTATTAACCTCCATCCTTCATGGCCTCAGTGAAATTGTGAACTAGGTACATGTCCAAGGAAATCTGGTTAACAGCTATTCAATGTAAAAGACAAGACAATGAACAGGACAGGTGATAAAAGCAGCACCTGACAGCAGATAACCAAGAGCAGAGCTCTAACACACAGGTTGATGGGCCATTAAAGGAACCACCCAAGTGCAACTCTGGAGATTCAGCCAGGAGCTTTGTAACCAATAAGACTATGGTTAATTATCAGGAAAGGTCTCATAGGCAAGAACAAATTTATTTTAAGATGCCTGAAGGGGATTGCAGGACCGCTTAAAACATATCATAAGATGTCTCGGGGAACGACCACAGACCCCAAGGGAGGCGGTGAAGATGGGTCAGGGAGAAACAAGCATAGGAAAATGGGGGGTGAGGAGTGAGAGTTGACAGACAGGGGGAGGCAGAAGAGCCACCAACTGCACACAAGTAGGCTGCTGATCATTCACCTTTGTCTGGCTGAGACTTACAACTCATCACCATAGTGTGTTCTACACCTTTATTAATTAAATAGTATTGCAGCCTGTTTTCTCTGTCATTGCAGTCCTTACTGTTTGTATACATACATGAGTGTTCCAACAGCAACCCTAACTGGGACTAGCCAGCAAACAGATGAAACCCAGAATCTGTAAATACCCTAGGTCCAGGGTTGAGACTGAACAAGATACCCAAGATCTAGTCGTGGATATAGAAGAGACTCAAGGTCATGGGCAGCGACTGGAGAGACCAGAGAATGTGAACACATACTTGAATTATATGCTCCACTAGCAAACTTTAAGCAAGTAGGAACAGGATCAGGCCACTTCTATGGTTTCTGTTTTCAGCAAGTGCATCTAAGGGCACTGTCCTCTTGTTTATGTTAATCTGTTAATTTATGGTCATGTCTGTAGTACATAGGCACATGTGTGCATCTCTAAAATTCACACTTAGTCTTACTATTGGCTGGATAGGTGAACAGGGAGAAGCAGCAGCAGCCCCACAGGGGAGGCACCCCATGTACCATACTGTCCACGAGATGTGGTAATCCTTAACAAAATGATCCATTACAGTTCATCCCATTTCATTTGCTATAGTACACGTGAAAGCTGCACCATAAAGAAGCACAAGGACAGTACCTTAACCATTAGTTTTTTTAATTGTGCTATCCCACCTGCTGCTTTTCTGCTGAAAGCCATAGTATCTGTCAGATCCACACAGACAGAAAGGCAAACAGCTGTCACTTGTGGCTACTTGGAATTCCTCTGACCCTTCTCAGTCCTTCAACATAGACGTGGCACCTATATCTAAGTGCCTATATTCTACTGCTTTAGTGGAACATCTTCTGTTTAGTTCAAGACAAGCAAAAATCCTTACGTAGCCAGGCAAGTAACAGTTTCTGATGTAGACAGCAGTGGTACCACTAAGAGTTCATCCAAAGAAGTTCAGTAAAGACCAGAGGTAACAGGGCAGGCAGATAAAATATAATTCAAATCAAACTTGAATTATATTTTATCTCAAGCACACAAGCTCTTCCAAATCCCTCATTTGGAGTAGTCCTGTATTCTGGAACACATCTGCCCTCTGCATGGAATGACTTGGTAAGAAGTACAGCAGGTTCTCACATCTCAGCATAGGCACTTTCATGTAGGCTGCACCTTTGCCTGTTGAGGCACATCCGTCTTCAGCTGTGGGCTCTAGTAACTCCTACCCTTCAAGTGAAGGCAACAATTAATGTAGAAATTTCACTGGAAAGAAATAAGTGGTTGCAAGCCCCATCTGCAATGTCACAATCAATGCACCGGTTAGAAGTATCAGCATTGTTCATGGTGTTACAGAAGACAGATTGAGCGGGGAGACACGACGCGTGGGAGTGTTGTTGGCAGACAATGATGCAGGGAGAAAAAAGGGAGCGGCAATATCTGTGGATGATGTTTCTCCTTGGTTGCGAAGCTGTAAGATCTGCCGCAGCAGGGCCTTTCCTTCTTCTCTAGTCTGAAAAGAATTTGTAAAAAAAAAACAAAAACCAAAACAATACAGCTATGGATGGGTGGTTTCTGAATCAAATTCAGTACGTAAGCAGTGTAAGTTATACTACTATGTCATTCTGTAAGGCTGTAAGCTATAAAACACATCCTCATTTCTTTTTTATTCCGCTAGCTAAAAAGGTTAAGGTATGTCACTTTTTTTTTTCTTTCTTCCTTTTACTCACCTGATTTGCATATGTTACTTGGGTATTTCAGACAGCAGTACCATCAACCACTGAAGCTGCCTAAATATTCCAGTGAAAAGCAGATTGGAGAAGCTTCAAATAAGCTGAATTCAGGTTCTCCGGAGTTCCAGACAGCTTTCTTAAGGATAGGCCACACACCCTGCACTCATGGCTAGTGTCTACCACTAGGATGAAGTTAAAAATCCCAAACTGCCCACTTACAGATACAGAACATCTCCGAATATGGAGTCACATACAAACCCCATATACTATTATATCCCCTGCACTGTCTACACACAGAAGGTGAGAAAAAAAAAAAAAAGAAGTTATGTGAGTACCATCACAACACAGCGCGTGGGAACCTGTGACCATTTAACCACCTCCTCGAGCCTCAAGTTCTTTTATTTAGTGAACACCAGTAAGACATGGTTCACTTTTACTATCTACACCGTATTCCATTATTTTAGTCAATCATAAGCAGCATTAGTGACCAGGTGTACAACACCACCACTCAGGATGTGACCTGCATGACAGACAGCCCTCACTCCTCCAATAAAGGATTCCTTCTACTCCAAGGGGAGCAAAGCTCAAGTTCATAGATCCCCTAAGAAACACCAAAGGTTGCACAGCTACTCACATCATTGAATGCACAGCATTTCTGAGCACACGCTGAGGCTTCATCCCAGAGCTTACACTTGAAGTAGTACTGGGCTAGGTAACGGAAGGCAGTGCTGACCTCCAGGTGCTCCACTATCTCCTGCAGTGAGGGGGGTAAAAACCATCATCTTTGAGTGCCTCCCAAGGTAGTTTTACCCCAATGCTTACTTCTCCTTTTATTCCCAAGATCCCATCTTACCCCACAGGAATAGATATCCTGGATGTATTTGATATAGCACTGAGCTGCCTGTTCAGATTCATTCAGCTGTTCGTGCAGCCTAGAAAAGGAGAAAAATGGGCCACTGGAACAAGACTGCACTGTCAAAGACCTTCTTGGTCTATGAGAAAGTACCTACTCAACCTGACCTAGACTAAAGCCAGGTCTTTTCCTTCAGAATTTGCAAGACATGCACCATGTACTGCCCCCCATGGAAAGAGATGATCCAGCTTGAGAACATTTAGATTACCAGGAAAGGAGCCAGTCAGATACTAACTGCTAGAAGCAGTGGCAACCGAAGCAGTGGCCTTTGCTTATTCTGTTATATTTTAAAGCTTTTAACAAACCTTTGCTATCCTATTAACTGGCTATTTCCTCCAGTGCTTCTTCCCCTGCAACATCCCAAAAGTCTCTGTACAGCAGCTTCACCTTTCACTTGCTCTTTTCCTTCCCCTTCACATTACTTTATGCCCACCAAAAATTAGTCCTGATGTCAGTGTTCACATTTATTCCACATTAGACCATTTCCCAATGTTACAACCATATACTGGGGGAAGAGGGAATTTAAAAAGAAAAAAAAAAAAAAATCAATCTACAATTTTGTACTTCATCTACCATCATGGATTGCTTTAAGTTTCAATACAACAAATATAACTGCTAGCATTGCCTGCTCACATCACCTTAGGATTCAGAGGTCCCTTGCAACCAACATTATGCTATGATTCCCTCCAGTTATCCTGAGGGAAACTTACAGCTGGACACCAGAATTTGCAGTCACAAGAAACCCAAAGATACCCATTATTACATAGCTCCAGAAGTAATACTACCTAACAGAAATTCCACTTGTTTTACATTTAGTATTTTATCATTAGGTATCAAAGCGCTAGTTGCATCTAACACGATATTGGCAGTGATAATACATACTCACTTTGCTAGTTTCACCAGTGCCATTTTCTCCACATCTCCCACAGCATAAGCTCTCCAATAGCACTGTCAAGGAAGGAAAGTCAGTCCAGCACACCACAAAACCAACTCCAGCTCATGACTCATGCAAGTTAGAAACAGAAAACAATGTGGCTTTCCAGCAAAGGGGCATGTATCAACTGTAGATGACTATTTATCAGCTGCTCTAGTTACATTGCAGCAGAGCTTCCCCAGTTGTAACCACCACAAAAATTATTTTAATAAGCTCCTAACAACACACCGTATGCACTTCTGGAAGCAGCAGCTACACAACTCTGCTGTGACTCTACCTAGTGTCCTGGGAAACATCCTAACATCTTACTCCACACAGCAGTTCTCACTTACCTTTTTAGCTTCCACCAACTGATTGAGCTTCTCATAGCATTCTCCTAGAGCAACCAGCATACGAGAATCATTTGGTCTGCAAAAGAGCAATTCCTAATAACTAATAAACTACAGGATTTGAAATAGTGAGACTGCACAAATCACATAGCATTGATGCTCTCCCTTCCCCAACTTAGTTCCTGTGTGTAAATTCCTTAGCTAGTAGCAACCACTTGAGTGTGAATGTCAATAAACATGGCTCTGTTCTCAAATCTACCTGAGCTGGTGGGCCCGTCGATAGTAATAGAGGCAGTAAAAAGGCATTTTGAGGATTTCATAGGTTTGCCCCAAGCCATACCATGCTCTGTAGTCCCTTTTGTTCACCTCTATTGCATGTCTGTCAAAGAAAAGGAAATAAACTAGTCAGAAAGCAGTCAGGATCAAAACCAAGACAGAATTCAGCAAGACTAACAAAAAATAGAAGATACTACTTCAAGTCCTTACGTATGCAGACTCAAACATTGTTTTGTGCTGTACGTGAGCGATACCTATAAGCCTGGATAGCTGCAGATGTATTCTTCATTTCCATATACTCATGTCCCATGAGTGTCCAGGCTCCCAGGTAACGAGGATTCAGTTTCAAGGCCCTCTGGAAATAGAGCGCCGCTTTTTCATGCTGGGAACGCAAGCTATAATAATTCCCTAAAGCAAAAGTCACAATGTTCAAATAAATTTTAAAAAAACCACACAAGCAAACAAAAAAACAGCAAAGAAGTAGAGAACAAATGGAAGAGGTATTATTTACTACCTCCTAACTCAAATTATAAAAAGAAAAAGTCCTATTAAAGGCAGATCTGATTCAAACCTCAACACACCCAATAGCACTCTGTTCTCCAGTGTTCTGGTCAATGAATTTCCAGTTGTACCAATCAATTAAGATCCCATTCCCCTGGCCTTAAGACTTACGTCATGATTAACATTAATTTCCTGGTCCTGACACACCATTATTTCCACTGGAGTTTCAAGACTATAAATAAAGGAATTATCAGCTACGTGGACCTTCACAATGATTTCCTCAACTCCTTTCTGCACTGATAGTATTACAGCAGCTCTTTCAGAGAGAAATGAGGGAAAAGGGTACTCTGTCATTTGGTCTGTTTTTTAGGCTGCTTGAAACCACATTCACCAAGTGGTTTTGATAGTCTTGCTGGCTGATCATTTTCACAAGTGTTTCTAAGATTTCCTTGCACAGCCTGCAGACAGTATAACAAACATAAAAGAGCTGGCTCTCACCAATTACACAGCAGGTCTCAACACGATACTTGTCTATCTCACAGAGATTGTGAGCCAGGTAGCTCAACTCAGGCTTCATGCTCTAGTGAAAGACAGAAATGAAAGTGATGAGAAAAGGAGCGTGTTACAGTTTCAAAGAAAACTTTGGCAGTTAGCAATGCATACACTGCACATATTTAATGGAGTTGTGAGGCAGTAAGCAGAAGCTGAAAGTCTATATTCAGACAGGCTAGACAGAACCAGCTGCTTTGCCAGTGTTTAACATACCTCTGATAAATACCATCATTATGGATAGGCAATAGAAAGAGTGCTTACCCTTACGTATAGCAAGTTGGAGAAAGTGTCCATGTTTTCTATCCTGTAAGGATCTTGTTTCCTTAGCTCGTTAAAGATGGATAAAGCTTTGTCAATATCTGAAGAACAAACAGCAGATGGGAGAACAAGAACAATGCAAGCTTGGCATTCATAAAGGGGCTCATTCCTACTAGTTAGTAAGTATCACTGACCTCGGATATTGTGGTAGGCAACTGCAATCTGAGAGATGATGTAAGTGCTTTTGGAAAATCCTGCATCAATGAGACACTGATACTTCTGCAGAGCCTCCTCTATCAACTGCAGCTCTGTGTAAATGTGTGCAAGAAAGAACTCTTTCATCCATGTATCTGGCAAGGACAGGAACTTCAACTAGCAAGAACCAAAGAAGAGGAGGAAGAGATGACAATCAGTAGTATTCTAAGCCACTTGCAGCAAAGAATCTATTATCTTCCCTCCTGTGATTTAGTAGATACTCTTGAAATAGGAGGCTTTCCCGCAATCGCTTTCTTAAGCCATAACACCAGTTACAAAAGAGCAGTATTGGGACCAAGAATTAATATTAGGTTCTTCCAAAGGAGATACTAAATAATGCCTATAAATTGAGACTATTGAAACTGAAAAGGAGCATTAAGACATCCAGTCTAAAAAGCAGTACAAATGGACCACATAATTATATTTAGTCACTCCAAATCTATTCCCATGACTGCTGAAGTTGCAGAAGAACTGAAGCCATTTCATTTGGTCCATCAGTGAAGGAATTATTGTTTTCAAATCTGACAGCAGCTGGCTTCTGCTTCAGCCACTAGCCTTATTTCTCCGTTAAATTCAGAAGTCCTTTGAAAGACTGTATTTTCTTCCTATGTTTGAACATCAACATCACATCACTATTTTTGATAACCTAAGTGAACAGACTCCAAATAATCTCATCAAAAATGCATTCTCCTTTTTTTTCCACAAATCAGTAAGGCTCACTTTTGTGCCACCTCTACTTTTTTTTTTTTTAAATACTCCACCAGCCAGAACTGACTGGAGAATTCCAGGAGCTGTCTTGAAATCCCATGCATAAAGAAAAATAATCTATTTTGGTTTTATATCAAGTTGAATTCTTTGATACAGTTCATCTCATATATGTGGTTTTGTACTTAACGAAGGGAACACCTACATTAGTGTTTTAGTTTTAAAAGCAGTGATTCTGTATATCCTTTGAGGCCACCAAAAATGCTCAATAACTGTGGAACTAGAACCAGATTAAGCAAAAAAAAAGAAAAAAAGAAAAAGAAAATGTGAAGTATCTTAGGAGGTTCTCCTTCATGTGACAAGGCAATAACCCTGCTGACAACTACTTCAGAACACATGAATTAGCCATGTCTTAAACCACTTTGTGGGTGAATAAGAAATTAACTCTGCCCATATAAAGATTCTCATGCTACAACACGGCAAGCAATTAAAGAAAAAAAGGCTTTAACAACATAATTTACAACCTTGCGCTGTCTTGCCTGAGAGAGTCTCACAAAATAAAGCAGTGTAGCAACTGAACCACTGGTTACTGAATGAGGTTAAACTCTGGAATTTGTTGCCACATCTCGATATCCCCCAAGTTTTACCATCTCCTTATCTGTAATCAAGTTGCAAAGTTCCAGCCAGGCTCCCCAATGCAAAGGTAAGACATGGGCAGCTTCAACAAATACATCTATTGCTTCTTTCACCAGGTCCAGCTTCCGCAGCACGACACCATATCTGTAAAGAAAAGTTATCAAGTCAACAAGAATGATAAAACTCTGCATATCTATATAAATACATTAGATAAACATGCAGACACTTACAAATAAAGGCCAAATCCATCCAGTTCCCGTGCCTTGTGTTTCTTGCTGAGCTCAACTCTCAATTCTCTTAGAGCTTCATTTTTCACCTGTCCTTTTTCCAGAGGTCCTGCATGAAGAAAAAGTCAAACAGCTAGCTTTCAATCAAGATTCTTACCACAGCAATTATGAAGTCTAGGTTATATTCAGAATCATCACTGACATGACCTGAAGGCTTATCAGTCTGTGATTATTTTTCTCTTTTTAAAAGAAAATCACTTAGTGTGATCACCTGCTTTAACAGAAAAATAGATGAAAATCTGTAATCTGTACTAAGTCAATGAATTGAGAGAGAATGAAAGAAGTTGTGTTACAGCACACTATTATTCAAAAATTGAGAGGAAAGCCATAAAACCAAGATGATTTACATGAAGAGGCATTACTGGAAGCTTCATTATATTGTCTTGTGTTCCTTGACACCAGAGACCTACCCAAACTATCCACTGTCTCATCATCCTTCTTCTTTTCCCCTGACTGTGGAAAAACAGAGGAAAACCATGATTACATTACAACAGCATATTCCTTATGTTTGTTGCAATATTAGCAGCAGTATGCAAAATGAGTTTTCACAAACATCACGGTTCTAAAAAGAACACTTCTACCGCCCTTCCCCCCAAACAGGTAATTTGGACTTCTAGGTGGTCATTTGGAATAGAATTGGCAAAAAATAAGGTATGCCAGGGAGGGGTAGGAAGCAGAGGAGTTCAATGCTAAAAGGTGACTTTTCTTTCTATCTTACCAGGTATCGAGAGTACATATACAAGAAGTAAGCTTTCTGACTCTTGCAGCCCCGTAGAAAATAGGCAGCCCTTTCATATTCCTTTAGATCAAAGTAAGACTTGGCTAACGTGTAGGCATCCAGATCACGAGCATCCTCCTGCAGGGACACAGAAGAGTTCTGAGACCTCAGAAACTCTGACGTTCTTTAGAAAAATCACCCAGTTACAAATATATCCATGAAACTGCTCTGAAAGCTAAAAATGTAGTTTATTCATCCTCAAAGACGGTTTGAGTGCCATTAGAAAAGTCTCTCCATTCCCTTACATAATCAGATCTCTAGTTCTCAAACAGTGAGTACAGACTAGTTAGAAACATTTAAAATAAGCAGTGCAATTCCAAAACACAAATTGTGGGAAGCTACCAGAAGGCATGAATTAGCTGTTCAATGAGTATGAATAACCATAAATAAGAAACCTACTCCAGAATTCCCTGTCAAACAATACTAACCCGCTAGCTTAAACACAAACATTTCCTTGATAACTATGCCTTGAACTGCATTTATGACATGTTACACTGCTGGAATTTAACAAAACAGCCATGTACCTAAAAGTCCTAGTGTACACCTACGGAGGTGGGGGTGGAGACACAACTTGTCTCTCTTGTGTCCCAAGGAGCACAAGCTTAATGGCACAATGTAATTTGTATTACAATAGATTTTGACCTTGGTAAAGATGAATAAAAATAAAAATTAAGTAGCGTGATTTCAAATTTTGCTTAGAGTATCTCACTCAGGGCACAGCAGCATGTAAAACGGAACGCTTTCACTGCGAAAGCGTATTCAGCTCCGGCACCCCATTAAACATATACTGGAAGGGAATTTCACGGCATCATAAAACAAGCAGCACGCACAACAGCCTCTTGCACGTTTTTAAAAAGATCGCTATCACATTTGTAGTAGTAGTTGTAGGCAAGATTAAAAAGCAGCCCTGCCAGCAAGAACTACAGCACTTTCTCTTCGGGCTCACAACCCCTTCCACACCCGCGAGCACAGAACGGCCTCAGGCCCGCCCCACCCGGCGGCC